TAATCACAGAAATGTGTGTGTAAATAATTTAGTAACCAGATCAGTGATAAATGGAATTCCTTTGTGCTCTGTGAGGTTTGAAATTCTCATGAAAGTTACATAAGATTACCGGCTAGTGAGATATGATGTCATGGGCTTCTGTAGGTCACTGCTGACATTTTGTAGCACTGTCTGCCTCCATCTTCTAGGTAGAAGAGGTTTCTTGACTGTCAATTTTCTACCATGAGATGAAGGCTACACATTTCTCTGAAGCAGAGGTAATTGTCCTCCAGATTACACAGCATCACATCTCAGAAGACAATAGTCTTACATTCTGCTAATATCCCAAGGGAATGGTGTAAAAGGCATCCATAATCTCAGCAATTTCTAAGCTCTCTACCTCTCTCCTCCTCCTCCTCCTCCTCCTCCAACCACCACCACCACCACCACAACCCAGTCCTTGTACATTTACTCAGAGCCGAAAGTTGATATGGAAAAGAATATGTCACATGGCATACTGGGGTATGCATTTCCAGTGCACTGTAGTCTAAATCATGGAGGTGAAGATTATAGAAATTGTTGCCGTGTTGGTGACTGTTTATACTAGTAGAAGGGTGTTATTTCAGCTTATTGGATGCATTGAAATTGATAATGCTAAATCGTGACAGACAGGAGTTTCACATGCTTACTAGTTCCATACGAAAGACCCCAACTAATTCTGTGGAACAGAATTCTTTTTAAAAAGCTTATGATCATTCAGCTGGTTAATATATTCCCTGCCTCTTACAGAATGTGAAGGCCCATTGCCAAGATTACAAGCGCCTGCCATTGATCCCTATCCTATGCCACATGAACCCAGTCCACACCCTCTTGTCCAGTTTCTAGAAATAACTCATTTCAGTAGTATCCTCTCGCCTAACTTTGGGTATCATGAGTATTTCTCATTGAATTTTCTGATTAAAATGTTGTATGTGTTTCTCTTGTCTCCCATATATGCCGCGTGCCCCGACATGGAAGATCCCCACTCTTCTCCATTTCTCAATAAGAAGCCACAGCATGTAAATTCGTGTATTTGTGTTAAGAATAATTTCAGAATTCACATTTCTCATGTCATCACCAGCTGCTACACATCAGACCATGTGATTCCTAAACTGAAATGGTCATTAAATAAACAGTAACATAATTTTGTTCCATTAATAAAATAAACAGATATTTCTAACATTACCAATTTCCATACTTTAAAATAACATTGAGTATTGGCAATCAGTATGGTGACAGCCAGGGCTGGATGACCTGGGTTCGATTCCTGGCAGAAGCAGGATGATTTTCTATTTAGCACTGTCTAAACTGGCTTTGGGACCCTCCCAGCCTCCTGTTCAGTGAGCACTTGGGGCACTTCCATAGTGTTGGTGGCCAGGGGATGAAGCTGACCACCCACTATTATCTAGTGCCAATATTAAAAATGACCATACATTTCGTGGCATGATGTATAATTAAGCACAGGGACAACCGTTACTTTTTTTTTTTTTGACCTTTAAAACATGAATGATCAATTAACTATTTATTATTGTTAGTTTAACATATATTCAGAAAATTTCCACCATTAATAACAAAGTACTGAGGAGTTTCATGGCATATAAGATCTTGCATTTTGTATACTTTTCCCGTAGGTAAAGCATACATCTGTGTTAGCATTTAAATGGAAGTAACAAAGCTATTGATGTCAGACTACTGTTAAGACTAATTTGTGATGCTCAAAGGAAGTCAGTATTCTTGAACCTTCAGTGATCTCTCTTATTTAGTTTAATTATGAATGTAATTGTTCCAACTTTTTTAGAAGCATCATTTTGTATAAAAGTGAAATTATTGCCAGAGGCAACTGGGTTGAATGCACCTTTCTTTTGCTTCTTGAATGCAGCTTACTGTCACATCAGGTGTTTTGTTATTGAATGTATTGCGCAATTTGACATCTCTGAAGAGAAAATAAAGAGGAATAATCATACAGGACATGTGCTGATATTACATTTGTCAGTATATCTCTGGTCGGGGTTCAAATCTCATTCAAAGCCCAGATACAGTTACAAAGACAAAAACAACACCGTCCAGTGTGACTATTTAAGTTTTATCACTTGAAAATTCATCACCCTTACATGTTTCGATCCCTACGGATCATCCTCAGAGGGCATCAGTACTTTTTCTGGAAACTACTACTACAATAGGTGTTAAATTATATACATACACATATAATGTCTGAAATACACAATGTACACAAAGTTCAACTTTAGTGTGATGGACCAGAATGAAACAAATCAAACCCAGGTACAATCCTGATTTTTTGTCATTTTCCTTAGTTGTTTCAGGCAGGTGCTGGAATAGTATTCTTTTTAATTCATAATAACCATTTTATCATGTCACATTAACCTGTGCATAAATGCACAAAGTTTTATGGAGAGAATAATTGTTTGTTTCCTGCAAAAAATTGCCCACTTAAATTCATCCCCCCCTCCTTCCCATCATCACCTGCTGCTTTTCCTAAGGTGGAAGATTTTTCTCTTAATTATTTTTACACAGATTTATGTTAGGCATCAAATAATGAATGCACACATGTTACAAGCTTTGACAAAATATTGCACTTGCAGATAAGTGGGAAACTTGTGCATATTGTATTCACAGTCATAAGGCTGGAGAATATTGTCATAAATACAGTATACAAGGGATTGAAAAGTATGGTTGTCACTTTAGCCAGTGGCAGCTACAGTTTTGGCTGATGACCAGTTTTACACATGCCATTGGGGAGTTGGCTTTGTAGAGTTCTAGAAATCTCTGCTGGCCACTTGTGACAGAGGGAATAGGGAACCGTATAAAAAGAAGTTCAGCTCAACATTATTGAAGCAAAAATAATGTCAGTCTTTACTTTTTATTCTACCCCATTATCTTATACCTGACTTGTAGGTATTTAGGACAAACATTCCTGTACACCAAGCAGAAGCAAGAGCCACAGGTACAAAAAAATACATTTATCTGCAACAAAATATTTGGCTACAAGACTATTTTTGGTCTGTTAACTATACAGTATCTTGAAAGCGATTCATCCCAGAAATGTGTCTACATACAAAAAGTACACATTAAAAAATACCGTATTTACGCATGTATAGGCCACGTGCGTGTATAGGCTGCAGCACAATTTTCAGACAGAAATTATAGAAAAAATAATTTTCCTGGAATATTATTTCAGGAGTATTACACCCTCTATTACTAATTATGAATATATATTTTTTTTTAAATGAAATGTGATTTCGAATATAAGCCGCACCCCAGTTTTCCTCTTGAATTTTTGGCAAAAAATGTGCGGCCTATACATGGGTAAATACGGTAAATGTTCTTGTCTTTGGTACATTCCTTTTCAAGACTGCAGTCATCTGGGATCTGATGCCATGTAGTCTGTTTTCTAGTTATGACAATGTTGAAGGAACTTGCTGCTTGCTTCTTTAGGCATCCAGGAAACTCTCTGACTTTATGAAACCTGGAAATTCATTAGCATAAGACTGGTCTGCATACATAGCTACAGAAATTCAGTCCACACCCTATTTCTTTAGGGCTAACTTCAATAATATTCTCCTCTTTACATGTCACTGTCTCAATGGATTTCTTCCCTTCAAGACATTATGCAAAAATCTTGTTCATAATTCTTATCTTCCTATGCATTCTACTGTGTATGTCATCATTAATTCACCCTAGTAAATGTAAACCTGCTACCTCTCTCCACCACAGCTCATAAACTTTAGTCTGAAGTTACTAGGAGCTTTTGATTTAGTCTTACAGCTGATGAAATCAGCAAAATAATGTTAATATTCTTCTATGGTGTGAAAGAAATTTAATTGAAAAGGCATATACAAGTAGAACATGTATTTAGACAATCTTAATGCTGTGCATCCTGTTATGTGTCATAAATAAGATATACAAAAGTATAAGGTATGCCATCTACACAACAATATTCAGTATTTAAAAAACAAAGGAGACACTACCGTAAGATTTGAGGTTTTCACGATGGTGACAATGAAGAAAGCAGTCTTCTGGGATGTGGCACTGTGTAGATATTGTGTTAACCGATGTTTCGGAGGATTGTATCGCCTCCATTTTCAGGGTAGAAGGAAAAAAGAAGAAAATCTGCGAGTGAGGAACCAGCGTGAGCAGGTGCTAACAGACTAACTACAACCTGCTCATGCTGGTTCCTCACTTGTGGATTTTCTTTTTTCCATCTACCCTGAAGATGGAGGCGACATTCCTCCGAAATGTCGGTTAACACAATATCTACACAGTGCCACATCCCAGAAGACTGCTCTCTTCAAAACACTACTGCATCAGCATTTGCTTTTAATATGTTTTTACAGATGCAACATGTTTCGAACCGAAAAAAATTAAATTCGCTTAGTGGGGGGTGGATTCCAACTGGGTCCACTTGGCATGGCGGCCACTGATTGGCCTATTGTACCTGCTCCGGGTGATTATGATGATGGGTAATTTGGTGGAATGAAGATTGGCAGGGGAAACCAAAGTACTCGGTGAAAACCCGCCCCAGCGCCACTTTGTCCACCACAAATCCCACTTGACCAGACTGAGGATTGAACCTGGGCTGCCACGGTGGGAAGACAGTGACTAACCACTTGCGCTATGGTGTGGCCTTGTTTTGGCCCTAACACCTGGTCATCATCAGGCATACAGTGCTCCAGTTTGAGCTGTTGAATTGCAATTAATAATCATATAATTCTTCAAATAAGGATCCGTATTAGATGATAATTAATTTAAATTCAGCAGCTCAAACTGGAGTACTGTATGCCTGATGATGACCCGGTGTAAGGGGCGAAACATGTTGCATCTGTAAAAACATAATAAAAGCAAACGTTGATGTGGTAGTTTCTTCTTTGTTTTTAAATACTGAATATTGTTGTGTAGACTGCATACCTTATAATTTAGATAGTTTCCTTTAAGAGACTGTGTTGTGTTTTGAATATTTTTTCCAGTGGTTCAAGGTGTCCAGTTGGTGAACGGTGTACTAACAGGCGATTTCAGAAACAAGACTATGCAAAATGTGAGATTTTCAAGACTGAGAAGAAAGGTTTTGGTTTGAAAGCTCTTCAGGAATTACCCATGTAAGTTTCCCTGTTTCCTACAGGATTTTTTCATATTTTACCCTGTTAACGTTTTTGTTTATGACCTCTGAGCCTTCATTATTTTGCTCATGATGTTACATATATATTCTTATAAGTGTGTACTGTATTTTTTATTTATTTATTTATTTTCTGAATAGGGGAACATTTGTAATGGAGTATGTTGGAGAAGTGCTGGATCCAAAGGAATTCCGTCGTCGCGCAAAAGACTATGCCAAGGACAAAAACCGTCATTACTATTTCATGGCTCTTAAGTCAGATGCAATAATTGATGCCACAATGAAGGGGAATATTTCAAGGTTTATCAACCACAGCTGTGAACCTAATGCAGAAACTCAGAAGGTAAGCTCACTTATATTGCTTATTAAGTTGTTGTATTTGTAGAATGCAAGCCATACTTCCCCTTTGAATCTGCCTCCTGTGAAACTAAGGTGCAGTTTATATTCAGAATAGATTTGATGGCAAGATATTTGGTGTGTGTGTGTGTTGGTTGATTAGGAAATCTTATTTATCTTGATTTCAATAAGGGAATCAATGTTGATGTTTAAATAATAGTAAATATGTAAACAGTTTTGCAGAAGACTGTATGAATGACACTGCATGAAGTAACAGGATGTAAAATGATGTCCTTTTGAAGGATGCAGGATTGTTATGACAGTGATGTGCATTTTCATCCTTGAATGGGAACTGGTAGAGGGGGTGCAGGGTTGGGAACTTTTAAACAGAGAAGAACTTTAGTAGCATTCGGTCACTACTGTAGTTAGGATATGGTACTGACTTTGTGATGACTGTGTGGTTTAAATATAGACATCCTCAATAATGAACAGAGGAAACCTGTGATGACTTTTTTGCAGGATTAATGAGCATGCCAGCTCATAGTCTAACATAAGTCTAAGTCATAAGTCTAACATCTGTAGAACTTTGTATTAATTATTTGTAAGTAAAAAGCCATACACTTAACAGACATGCAGTTAGCTTATTATTGCCACAGTTATGTAGGACATCTGCTTGATATTGCTTTTTAATACTCAAACATATGAGAGAAATGCTCTTTACAGAAACCAATAAATATGCATATACAGATGGGTAAACAGAGGTGCATGTTAGCTAATGAAAGATGTACATGTAACTAAAGTTTCTTATTCATGGAAGTTTTCTCATTTAATCATTGTTATCATATCTTTCCTCACTTTATTCTTCATTCTTTTGGGATAGTCTCTCTGTAGGTCATCCTCACTTCTCTTCATTTTATGTGAAATTGTGTTTTTTTATATACTGGCTCCCACATCCTCTGTAGCATACTGGGTTGCTAGTACCTTAAAGTTTGTGATGTAGCTTGCACATTTTGTGTCCATACTTCACTGTGAGTGGGGCACACGGTAGCATAGTTGGTTGAGGCACTATGTTACAAGGTTGTGGGTTTGAGTTCCGATGAAGTAATTGGATTTTTTTTTTCAATTAACCTAATCCTTCCAGTTGCACTATGGCCATGGGGTTGACTCAGCCTCTAACAGAAATGAGTACCAGGAATATTCTTAGAATATTCTTGGGGGTAAAGGGTGGCCGCCACGTAGGGCTGACAACCTTGCCGCCATCTGTGAGCCGATTGTCTAGAAAATGTGGGAACCTCAACATCTCACAACCCTATGGGCCTCCACAGCCTGTTACAGGGATACCGGTACTTTTTTTTTTTACTTCACTGTCAGCAGCCCAGACTATTTGTAATGATGGCACAACTGCTATGGGTGGCTTTGGACTAGTGCGGTAGACTTCCTGAGACCAGCAAGCAGTAGGTTACTGCATACAGTGTCACAGGTTGTCATAAAATCACTACGGCCAATGTCTCTAAAATTTAAGTGATACTTAAATCTGACTGGAACTTGAGAGATAAGCAATTTAAACAGGCTTATAAATTAGATTTTATTTTCATCATCTTTAAATTCAGATGCAGTTTATGTGTGCACAGCTGTGGTATATCATGGCAGTGGGATTATGTAACATCAGTGCATTTAGTTCTTTGCTGTTGCTGAAGGACAGGATTATGATTAACTCTTTCCCATGTTTTGTTCTGGATTAGGAATGGTTGTCATATCTACATCTTTCCCTGGAATGACACAAGCATAATCCTGAATTTTTGTGTAATTTGAATCAAGATCACCTAAACTGAAGTTTGTTTGTTTTATAAATGAGATGGAAAACATAGGGAAAATCACATAGGAGGATAGTATCATGAGGTTCGTGTTCACAGTAGAATGTGTTAAGGGACCAAAAGTTTCTTTTGCAAACAACAAAACAAACTCCATAATCTGTAGTCCGCAAGCGAACTATACTGGCTGAGCGACCGCCGCTTGTTGACAAAGTTAATGCCAACTTTTACGGATAGATGGTGTCACGTGGTCAGTGCAGCAGATCCCCACAGCTGTTAATCTTGGTTTTCTATACCAGAGCCGCTATTTAACTATTGCATAAATGTTTTGTATTTAGGTTAATTAATCTTAAAGATTTTAATCTGAAAATTAAATAAATGTCATTATGTAAATATATCTTAATTTGTATGTTTTTCATCTTGTGTGTTGTCACTACTACATAAATGTGTCTGTTGATCACAACAATCACTTTTAATAAATAACCGATAGGCTCAAATTATTGATAAAATTAGTTTATTAAGATGTTATTTTTGCTACATGTTTTGGTTATTTATGACCATCATCAGGTGTTGTAGGCCACACCATAGCTCAAGCGGTTAGTTTCTGGCTTCCCACTGCGTCAGCCCGGGTTTTATCCCATGTCTGGTCATGTGGGATTTGTGGTGGACAAAGTGGTGTTAGGGCGGGTATTCTCCAAGCACTTCGGTTTCCCCTGCCAATCTTCATTCCACCAAATTCTCCATCATCATAATCACCCGGGGCAGGTACAGTAGGCCAATGAGTGGCCACCGTGCCGAGTGGACCCAGCTGAACTCCACCCCCCACTAGGTGAATCATCAGCTGTTTATAAACAGTGCCTGAGGATTGTAAATGACCAAAACATATAAGAAATAACATCTTGATAAACTAACCAATTTTTTTGCCAGTTTGAGTCTGTCATTTATTAAAAGTGTAAATTGTTGTGATTGATGGACATGTTTACATTGTAGTATCCCCCATACATATATCATTTTAAGAGAAATAATAATAATTTTAATAATATTTACTAATGTTAGACAAGTATTTCTGTATACAAGGTGTATCGAAAAGTTCCCGGACTAGGTCAAAAAAGAAATGCTGTCTTAACTTAACTCAATTTTGGCTGTCATCTCCTTCAAAATAGTCTCCTTGGAAATGTATACAGTGATTCCCATAATTTTTTTCCATGTTTCAGAACCACCATGGAAGTCATTTTCCTTAATGCTGTTGAGTATCACTTGTGATTCCCTTTGGCTCAGACACTATTTCAAAATGTCATCCCTTCAATTTCATTTTCAATTTGGGAAACAGTGACATCACAGGGGGTTAAACCTGGCGAGTGGGGATGATGGGGAATGATAACCATGTTTTTGTTAGTTACAAACTGTGGTTTTCAGAGACGTGGGTGGGCTATTCATGATGAATGAGAGCAATGCAGCACCTTCACATTTTGTGTTAAGATTTCCTGGCAGACTCCATAACTGATTCCAGTGGTGTCTGCAATTTGATGGATTGTTCGGTGATGGTCGTCATGGATGAGTTCTGGAATTTTTTCAACATTTTCTGTCATTTTGCTGGTGCTTGGTAGCCCTGAATGTTTGTCATCTTCAGCTGATACTCAGCCAGTCCTGAAACATGAATACCATTCAGAAATTGCTATCCGTCTAAAGAATGTTCTCCAAATGCCTCACGAAGCAGTTCAAGGCTTTCGGCAGTGGATTTACCTAGCTTCAGCAAAACTTGATGCAGGCACTTTGCTTGATTTNTCCGGATTGTTTTGCCTCCAGAGGAAACATCTCGCATATATGGTATATATGGTATATGCCATCCATTGCAGACAAAATGAAACATGAAGGCAAAAAAGCAGTAGTATGAAAACAATAACAGTCTGGGAACTTTCCGCTACCACCTCATGTTTAAACACTAATCCTATGTAAATACTTTTACATGACAAGATCATTAGCAACACATCCATTGTGACACATAGTCCAGTAATGAATGTGGATGCATGTTGTTTATAAACACCTGATGATGGTTATAAATGACTGAAACATGTAGCAAAAATAACATCTTAATAAACTAACAGATTTTATCAACAATTTGATTCTGTCAGTTGTTTATTAAAAGTGTAAATTGTTGTGATCAGTGGTCATGTTTACATAGTAGTAAATAAATCTGACTTTCTAATGAGCTGTGCATTTTAGCATGATCAGTGCTGCTATAATTATACTTCTTACGTAATAATGAGACACAGTAATTACTCTTTGTATCTTTCCTGTAGTGGACAGTCAATGGAGAATTACGAATTGGTTTCTTCAGTAAAAGGAATATTGCTGTTGGTGAAGAAATTACTTTTGACTACCAGTTTCAGCGATATGGGTGAGTAGATGGAAGTCCATATTTGAATGTTATGATCAAAAATTCATATACACATAGGAGTAAACAACTTCATGTTATGATCTCTTTCATTTGTAATTGGACAAGCATACTGTCACATATTTTCTGTCGTAACCACTGCTAATGAATCCAGTGCAATCCAAACCACCAACTTCTGGCACCAGATGCCGTGTAGGGTGGTACGCATGACAGAAATAACGGGTTCTAGTTTGGGTGATCGGATTTATTTATTATCACCTTGCTTACAAGTTCTCTTAATCACATGTAAATACAGTGCTATCGCTGATTTACACACTTCGCAGTTCACCGTTGCACATGCGCTAGGATTCCCAGTCTTCACTAGCTGTCTCCTAGCAACGGATCTCAACACAGAAATTAAGACTTCAAATCACTATGAAGTCTTCTTGCTATTTTGCCTTCAGTCACTCTGGAACCTCAACTAAAAATTCTTCTGGACTCACTCCTCCAGCTTATGATTGACTGCCCGTAAATGAATTCAAAGTCAAAGTCACATTGCCCAGTACGGCCAGTCAGTCAGTCAGTATGTCTTGGTGTCGAGCACCCTCCTGGGGCTCATGACCAGATGTTTATTACTGTTTGACAGTTACAGTCTTGTTTCTGTGGGGTGCCACCTCTGACAAATCTGTCTTTTGTATATGTTGCTGGTCCTTGCCAACGCAGTCTTTCTCGGGTCCGAGTCCCTTGGTACTCAAGACTATGNTTGTGAGCCGAAACATGTAAGGCAAATGTGAGAAAATGGTGACAAGAATATATATTGTTACACTCGACGGAGGTTCTGTTGATAATTGGTGAATTCTGTCACACTCTTCTCCTATAAGCACTTTGCACAGACCCAACAGAAAACACCATCTCTGTTGTTGATGGCATCATCACTTTAACAGCATGGTCCGATACACGAAAATGTGTTTACCCAGCCATTGCTTAGAAACAAATTGCATAACTGTTATTCTACTGTTGCTTGGCATAGACCACATAGAAAATGCAGCCTCAACTATTGTTTTGTAACCTAGCAATGGACTGTTTACCAAGAATCTGTCTTCTCGGGAACTTATTTACCAACATGTTGCCGAGCAGTGGGTGTAAATGTAACAATACATTTATCTTCTAGATTATTTTGTGTGTATATTTAAAAATGAAAAACTTTATATTTGTTAGTAATGTCTTTTATGTTATGATCTTAGAAAAGAAGCCCAGCGTTGCCATTGTGAGAGTGCATTATGTCGTGGTTGGATTGGGGAAGATCCAGAAAAGGAGAAGCGTGATCGAAAAGAAAGAAAAGAAAAAGAAATTAAAAAGAAGAGAGAAGAAAGGAGACGAGATGTTAAAGAATTTTTGGAAGATATGGATGTGAGTATGAGGGTTGTGTTGACAAGTTACAGTGCCGATGCTCTTACTGACATTGACTCTTGTTCTTACGTTCACGCAGCTCGAGGAGGAGATAGAGAAGCTGTGTGTGTCAGGGTTGAAGAATCGTGCCCACACACTTACTCTCTGTCGCTTAATGGTTCGGGCAGAAGATCTTCAGTCTCGTGCTCAGCTGCTCAAGTTGCTTCAGGGTGGTGAACCGGCATGTCGACGTTTGTTCCTTGATTACCATGGGTTACGCCTCATTTGGAGTTGGATGATGGATGTTGGCTCAAACAAGTCTAATGATGGACTTGCTTTGAGAATAGAGGTATATTATTTGTATTTATCAGTGAGTTACATGCAGTAAATATTTGAGTGGCCTTTTTGCTTAGTGTGGCTGGAGCAGAGAGTATGGACTTGTCAGAAGTTATTTTGGATGCCTCCTTTAAGTGTTTTTGTCTTACGTTGAAATGTCATATAACAGTTTTGCTTTTGATTTTTTCGTATGTTTAAGGGTGTCATTCTATACTTGAACAGGATGCCACAGAAAGTTGTACCTGACTACAAGGTGATGTTTTTTACTTTTATTATCATTAAAAATATGGGTTATCTTATTTTAAGGAATGAAGAAAATTTTGTGCAAAAAACAAATGCAGTTCAACAATTTCTGGTAAATATACATCTGACAGTTTTGTATTTTGGAAGTTGCATAACCATGGGTTATGTTTCAGGAACAGTAATAATTGATTTTTTGACTTTTGTCTTGAATTGTCATGACTGTCTTGCAGGGACAGGGAAGGTAGCAAGGCTGAAACACACATTTTTTTCTTATAGAAGATTCCCTTTAAGTTTGTATTGTATTTTATTTTGGCTTTAGTTCGATATTGTTGCTTCTCGTTTATTTGCTAGTGTGTGTTATATATATATATGAATTCCTTTCACTGGACAGATTCTTCAAACATTATCAAAGTTGCCAATTCCCAACAAGACAGTGCTGCAAGACAGCAAAGTAATAGCTGTGGTTGAAAAGTGGGCTTCGCTGTCGGCAAATGTACCAGCTCCAGACAGTTTCCTGGCTGATGGATCAAGTGATGGTATTGATGGTCAGAATATGTCTCACCAAGAAGTGGCAAGGAAAGAGAGGTGAGCTGTGTAAAATTTATTTGAGCTGTAATAGGGTGTTGTTTAAATCTGCTTTTTAATGAAGTTCATTGTTTCTTGGAATATCAGTGAAATCAAATAAGCAAAGAGGAATAGTACTCTTTAATGTCAGGCCCTCATGGCCTGAAATAGAATTGAAAGATACAACAATTAAGGTCTTCAGATACCTCTTCAGAATCTTTTAATCTTATTTATACATTGTACAAGGTGTGACAGTTTAATTCCTGGAAGGGCCCTCTGAAAGCAAAACTTGCTTACTTGTGCACTAGCGGCTGCTGTACCTTTGAAATACTCTCCTTGTGAACTATGCACTTCGTGAGATGATGGTGCCACTGCTGGAAACAGTCTTGAAAATCGTTTTCTCTAATACCTCAGTAACATTATCATGTTTCTTTGGATGTCAGGAATGTCAGCAAATCTTTGCCCCTTTGATGCATTTTTTAATTTTGGAAAGAGCCAAAGATCGCTGGTGGCTAAGTCAAGTGAATAAAGTGGATGGTCCATTTTTGTAATGGATTTCTTAGCCAGGAACTTGGGAACTCTTTTAATGCATCATGCCAGGAGCATTGTCATGGTGGGGAATCAACTTGTTGGGCCAGGGTTCATGTCTTTTCCTCCAAACAGATTCCCGTAACCTTGTCAGCACTTCCATTAACACTGTTGATTCATCATTTGTTTGTACTTTGTCCACATTTGCATCTGTCATTTGCGTTTTTGGCTGCCCACTTCTTGGGTCATCTTGCACATCATCTTGCCCCTCCTTGAAAAGCCTCTGCCATTCAAAAGCACTCAATTTCTTCATAGCATATTCGCCATAAGCCACTGTTAATAGGGCTAATGTTTCACTAGCACTTTTACCAATTGTCACACAAAACTTGATGTTTATCCACTGCCTGAGATTCTTGTCACTCATTTCTCTGTCAACGGTATATCACTTCGTCTGTTGCTTGGGAATGAACGACTTGTTTTGTCTGCGGCTCGTGTAAACACAAGTTGGAATGTGTCCAAATGTGCTTTGATGCATTTGTTTGCTTGACTCAACACCCTAGTGACACATCTAGCCATTCTCGAAAATAAATTGTTGGACCTTGTATTTTGGGGATTGTTTCCCCCCCCATTTCCAGGTTTTGTGATTTCTAGTGTTACGGGCATATGTATATATATATATTACAAATACAAGTAACATTCAGTGATGTTGCACTTCCAAATAGATGAGAAATAACAAACCATCTGTTTCAATACATAATCAGCAGAGGAGTTAATACATCTGTCTTAGTGATACACAATTCCTGTGAAGAGGAAACAGGGTGCAGTGTTTCCATCTACTGCTGCATATCACCTCTTACCATGTTATCACATCAGAAGTGTTTTCCTTTGAAGTGCTTTATCAGTTGTTCAGAGACGTGGAAGGCACTGGGCATAAGGTCCATGCTATGTGGAGGTTGGGTGAGACATTTCAGGGAAAATTGCTGCAGGAGTTGCATTGTGACATAGGTTGTATGAGAGTGGGTGTCGTCATGAACAAAAGTCCTTTCTTCTGTGAGCAAACAGGTGTTGTGTTGTTGCAATTAATGTCACATTCACTCAGATGACTGTGGAGAAGTATACAGTTTACACATTGTTCCTTTTTTTTTTTCTTTTCTTTTTTCTTTTCATCCATGTTGAAGTGATAATGGTGAGTGCAACACACCCTTAGGTGTTACTTATTGATTGAACATCCTTTTTATTAAAATATTTCTCTTTGGTGAATTTTGTACCTAATATTTTTCAACACCTGAAATAAAACTGTTCATATTCCTTTTCTCTCTCTCTCTCTCTCTCTCTCTCTGTTGCCCTTTTCATCTGGGAGGAGGGGATTTTAAGTTCCCTATGCTACAGGACTGGTAGCAGGAGTGTAAGTCAGGAGTAACATTTGTAGTAATGAAAAAGTGCAGTACTCAGTCAACTGGACTGTGCAGATATGCCATCAACAATAGTATAACATACATGTTTACATGATTTGTACGGATGAGAAATTATGTATTATTGTTACAGTGTTAATGAATTATCATTGACTGATGTAGGTATGCTGACTTAGGCTTTGGACTAAAGTGTCTTGGATAAATATTGGGATGTGCAGACTCTCAAATGTCTTAAATAACTATGTGTTAATTGGCTTCAGGCTTTAAACTTCTCACTTGCTTTTATCCGCACAGGTGTCTCGTATTTGAGCGCACAAATTGGCCACTTTTATATCATCATACAATGATATGTAAGAGATGTGATAAAGGCCATGCCATAACTTGGGCAGTTATTCACATGCTTCCCTAATCCCACATCAGGTTATACAGGATTTGTGGTGGGCAGTGTGGTACTGGGGCAGGTTTTCTTTGAGTACTTCATTTTCTCCTGCCAATCCTCATTCCACCAAATTCTCCATATTCGTCTATCATTCGGAGCTTGTACAATAGGCCAGTAATCGGCCGTTGTACCAAGCGGACTCAGTCTCAGCCCAAGCCACAAAATTATAAAAGTTAGAGATATGATAATTCGGTAAAATGACTTGCTATAGCTTGGGCATTTGTGGTACAGTTCCTGCCAAAAAGAGGGAGATTTCTTTTGATGATCATCTCTGGACCAACCTCTCTTTGTGAAGTAGAGCAGGTGGGGTATGACTGCTCACTTTCATTTAGAATGTGCAAGTTGTGTCTGTATGGCACTCACCTGTTACTACAGAATAGTGCATATGATTTCAGTCTTGAATCTGTAGCAGAAGGTCGGCTTTATAAATGTGCATTCTGTGTTGACCTTGCATGCATTGTTCATGAGAAAGGACTCCCTTCCATTGAAATATTATAGGCTTCTTACTAACATAAAGTGGAGGGCCGCACCGTAGCTCAAGCGGTTAGTCGCTAGCTTCCCACATCGGTGGCCCGGGTTCGATCCTGGGTCTGGTCAAGTGGGATTTGTGGTGGACAAAGTGGCGCTGGGCAGATTTTCTCCGAGTACTTCGGTTTCCCCTGCCAATCTTCATTTGACCAATTGCTCCACAATCATCTGGGGCTGGTACAATAGGCCAGAAGTGGCCACAGTACAAGGGACTTAGTCCCACCCCACTAGCAAAAAAAAAAAACATAAAGTGGACCTTGGTTTTGATGTGTTTAGGTTTTGTATATTCGAGAATGGAAATACAGTCGTCAAATTTAGCTGCTGTTTTTTTTTTTTAATCGGGTATTAAATTTCACAAAAATGTGTTAATAGAACTCCTCTAAAGTAGAAATGTAAATGATCAAGTTGAACTAAAGTTAAATTTATTTAATGTAAGTGTAGTGGAAGCTGTCAGTTTAAATTCACAGTGAATCTGGGTGGGGTGGCGGGGTTAATAGTAACAGTTGGCACTTTGAATTCAAAATGTTTATAGTACTCTCATTAAGTTTGTAAACATTTTGAATTTAAAGTACTGAACTGAGGCTTTCCAGTTTTCTGTCTCTCTTGTTTATTGCCCCACCCAGTTTGGCATTTGTGATCATATTGCTTGATACCACATAATCTGTGCTTTTGTTGAGCAGTTCCTTTCATCATGCTGTCTAGAAGGGTATGTTCTTGGTCAGTATGATTGTGCATCACGATGTTTTGTTTTTCATAATTCTGTTTCAGTGAAATCTTGTATTGGAGTGTCATGTAGTGTAACTTAATTAATGGGTGCCAAGGTTCTGTTAACATACCATACTGTAATACTGATTAACAGTTTGTTGCTGTGCTTACTGTTTAAGCAGCCATCCTTGAAAAACACCCATGACACCTGAAGAAACAATCCAAGAAAGAACCTACACATAGACAAGTCACATTGAACAAACTGTTATAACAGGACAGCAAACTGTATAAAGCTTACATAGTTTCACTTTGTAAGCATTGACCATTGTGTAATAATAACAGTGAAGTGGCCAATGGATGTAGAATTAGCCTGATAATGGCCAGCTAAGCCAAAACATGTAAAATAAAGTTATCCCTGTATGTAATTATATAATAAAGCACAAAGCACAAAGCACTGGGCATGTTGGGCATTGAGGGTAAGGCTTCATCATTCTTTTAACCTTAGCATAGATGGAGTGCACCTGCCACTTTACCTCCAGGAATCAATTCCCCCCGTACTCATTGGATAGGAGGATGGATGGGCTCCTGAGCTGGTCTGAATGCTATGGAGAAAGGAAAACTCTCTTGCTTCTGCTAGGATTTGAACCCTGGTCTCCCAACCTGTAACCTAATTGCTGTGCTGACTACGTAGGGAAATGAATGTATACAACTGATTAATTACATGCTATGTTGTGCTGACAGAACCTTCACACCTGTTATAGTGCTTGTGTTCTTTTGGGGGTTGTAAGTGTTGAAACTGAAGAATTGAACATGATATACTCTTTCCTCAGTTACTTGACTTTCTTTCATTTCCAGAAACCTTTAGTACAGGCATAGAACTATTTCTCTTGCCTGTACACATGCCCTTTTCATTAGGATAGTGAAGATGAGTTCTAAGTCATAAGTACTATAGGGATTTCACTGTATCTGTCTGTAGATCATCATTAGAAGAGGAATCTGGCAGCGATCATGATGTCAGCAAACCTAGGACTGATGTAGTGCTACCAGTTATAGTGGAAGTTCCAGATGAAGAAACACTGCAAGGAATTGAAAATGAGAAACAACTTGTGGATGGTACATCAGACAAACAAACAGAACTGCTTCCAGGAGATGTTATGGGACAGGTAGTGATCCGTGGTGGTGAGTCAGATGAGGAAGCAAGCAGTGAGGTGGTGGATAAGATACGTGGTAGTGAGGACAGTAAAGAGGAAGATCGAACTAGTATGGGTGAGAGTGAAGTTGCAGAAAAGATCAGGACGTTTTTAGACTTGTCATCAAATCTGCTTAATGAGTGGACTAGTCTCAAAGAGGTGTTCCGCATCCCAAAGAAGGAGAGGATTGAGCAGATGAAGGAGCATGAGCGGGAAGCTGGTGGGTTGATTTACACTCAAAGAAACCTTATTTGGTGTTTGTTAGATCCCTAAAGAAAATTAGTGTGATAGTTTTGTATCTTAATGCTTCATGTTGTGGAATAGTGCACAGGCAACATTTACTTGTAGCAGTGAGTATTTCTCTTTTCAAACAGATGCAGTTAAATCATGAATATAGGCAGTGCATTTTCATTTTTGGAAAGAAGGCCCAGAACCTAGATTTGATGATTAAGGACAAGTTAAAAAAAGTGTGGACTTCGAATTTTTACAACTGGGACTGACCCTGGAGGAGTGTGGGAACTGGGGAATTATGTTTTGTGGGACCCTTCAATTTGCTGTATTTTTCCTACCATAGGCTGCACTTTTTACCCAAATTGGTGCTTCTTCTAACAACTTCTTATTGGTTCTCAAAGACAACTTTTATTGGATTGTCTGCATCTGCTAAAGGTACATGGTTGTTATGACCAGGAGATGGCACTTGGCTTCAAATAAATGATACACTGATACAAGCAGTGTTACCAGATAGGCAAGTTGAAATTGAAATGCAGCATATCTAATTTTTTGAAGAGTCCTTAGTGCCCAAAATTAAATTAACATTTTTTAAATAATGGCTGTAACTTTGTGGAGCAGAATGGTACTTGCTTGCTCTGAGCTGTTGTTTGTTATGCATAGAATTTTGAGTGGCAGTGTAGTGTTTTAATGCAACAACATTGGTGATATTGTGTTGCAAGTTTTATTAACAGTCTACATTTATGGGTTCCACAATTAGCAAAACGTCGGAATGAAAGCAGGATTAGTGTTTCACTGATGCATTTTGTTTTGACTTTGATTACACCTATTTCTCTCAGTTCTGCTGCTAAGAGGTGGCTCTAGAGCTATAAAGACCCATGGCAAAAGTAATGAGGCCTTTGATGTGAGGAGGGAAATGCAGATTTTTTTAAGTGAAATAAAACAACATAATGGAATCACAATGATATACTGAATTAAAGGTGTAATTGTAATGTTATTACATTTATGCTTCAATGTGTGGTGCTCAGTTCATCTATAATGGGAATAATTTAATTTAAAGCCAAATTATGTTCATTAGATAGAAACACCAATGCAGATATGAGTGATCTCTCTTGACACATATATCTTAAGTAAGTTTTTATTAATTTCAGTTTGGAAATGCACATTTCTGCTGATGCAAGTGTAGCTAGAATTTTTAATAACATCGTTGATTTCTCAGACAGCTGTTTCTGACAACTTTGCAGTGTCGTTGCTTAATGATTTCAATCAGTGATTGGAAAAGTGTGTAACAGTAGTCAAGGGAAAATTATACTAATTTCTTAATTTGATCACCAGTTCCCAGCATAATATCTGCAACATCACAAGCAACTTGAACATGGCTGACTGTTCGTCTACTCTTTGGCCATTCCACTAGACTGGAGGCAATGAGGCAAAAATCTGAAGATCTCCTTTGCTATTACACTTTCTGATTGCGTCAAACCAATAAATAAATTATTTACTGGGTTAATAATTCCATATTATGTGGCTAAAACGCTTTACTCACAAACTGCATTTAGAAAATTTTTGTGTTGGGCATTCTGGATTCATCAGTTATTATGAGGCTTTTAATTTTATAATTTAAGTTCTTAAGAGTGTGGCTGGCATTTGACTCCATTTTCTTCAGAGTATGGGAGGTGCAAATAATTTTTGATCTTATTATAACCAGTGCCACAGTTCAGTAATGCTAAACTATATAACAGTCTTGGCGACACTACATGGATCAGCCCGCTGCATGCATCTGCATTTCTTCCAGGTGTGTCTTCAGCACCATTTGTTATTGTATGCTTATATTAGGGCGAATTTTCATCAACAAGTCTGGCTGTTTATAGTTGAGTCCTGCGTCATTATTTCAGTGACCAGTAGAACAACAGACGTAACTGAGTGTTAAGCATTTGTTTTATTCACCATCTGATTAGGATGGGCATTGTATGTATATTGAAACACTGAATTGAGAATTTATCTCTTTGAGTCAAAGATATTGTGAAGTTGTGATGTATTTGACTCATGTACCACATGCAGGAAGCCTATGCAGCATTGTCTCTGGAATCAATAAAAATGAAGTGAAGGCAGGTTTTTTATATGAGAAAGAAGAGGTTCTGGAGTCCAGTTTTGGTGCACTTCACCAAATGATAGCTCTGGTTATTGTACTTTTTAGTGTGAAGTAAATGATCATTTACTTTATTCTTTATGCAGAGTAAGTTTAGAATTTGGAGTGAAACCTGACTGGTTTTGAGTATAACACTCTTCAGTTTGTCATTCTTGAACTTTGTGTCTTGTCTGCCCTGGTGTATCTGAAGTGCGCTCATGCTGTGTAGTTCATTCCAAATGCAGAGAAAATGGAGTTAACAGGGAAAGTGCCTGTTTTCTTTTTTATTTTGTAAACAAAGTCACCGCACCCCTGTACCAATTTGTCATTTTCTTGTTGCATTTCTTTTGTATTGGGTCAAGTTATGTCAGTACCTTAAGAAGGCCAATTTGTAAATAGAACAAGGATGACCAGAAAGGGCTCTTGCCAAAGTTACAGTGAAAATAGACACATCTAGGATTAATCTGTAATTTTCTTATCGACTCTCCTCCTGCTGTCAAGATTTTGGATGTGACCAAATTGAAGTGTACAGTATTTTTTGTAAGAATGTTACAAATAGTTCTAGACAGCAGGTGTTATAACTTACACAGGACACTGATTGTCATTAATTGTTTAATTTTTTGTTACATATTGTGTGACTTAAACATTGAAGAGTCTTCCAAAAAATCGCTGAATGAAGTGTATCCACCAGTTTGTTATAACTGCTGCATCCCAAGACTTTGGATATCAGTTGCTATGCTCGTGGCAGACATGTTTGTGCACAATTAACCAACCATAGAAGCTCATATATTCCGCTATGAGGGAGCTTGTATTTAAATAACCAACTAAGCCGATTTAAATGTTCCATTTATCATTTGATCTGTACACATATGCATATAAAGGAGCATTGAAAGATTGCAATGTAATGAAGTCTGATTTCCATTCAGTATTACTTCTCATAATACCAAGCATTTAGAATAAGGAATATATCCTTTCATTAACCAGAAATATTTGAGAAGTTGCCATGTTTATATTTTACAATGTAAAATATGCCTTAAAATTTTATATACCTCAAACTTATCACTAAGGTCAACTTCATGATTATCACTAGGCACAACACTTAGTAAATTAATCCAACCCCAAGATGTTTCACTTTATCCCTCAGCAAACTAATGTGCCTTATAATTTATTGCACACAGGTAGCAACTGTAGGTAAATGAAGTGAATAAGCAAGTTTGGTATTCTTCAGTGTCAGAGGTGCAGTAATTGACTAAGGATAGTTGTTGAGCTTTAGAACACATCACATAGACAGGTGATGGCTACAGAGACTATTTTTTCCTCCTATCATCAGAGTTGCAGTTTTATTTATAATGATGTGAGCTTTCCAATTCATCTTTCCATGGGGTTTTATATCATTCATCATTATGTTGTTTACTGTTTATACTGTAGCAACGTATACAACCTGTTACTGATGCAGTTTGTAATTCTGCCATTGTTTCATTTCTTTTATGGCAAAAAATATGTATCCTGCTGTCTTGTGACATGTTCCAGTTGATATTTTGTGCATTGGATGTATGTATGATTCATCTCTTAACCTGGATTATTTCAGTGAGCTCTGAATCACTTCATACCTACCTAACTTTGTCATCATATCCAGTCCTCATCTTGTAATTAGATTGTTTCTTGTTGCATTGGCCAATTATGAGTATTGTTTCTGAGTTCTTGGTTGAATGAAGGTTGCCCCCCCCACAAAGTCAGTACAAATACAAATGTGAATGGATGTTTCAATTCAGGAGGATATGAAAACACATTGTCATGTATAGGGGTGTGACTGTAGATGGGATCTGGATTTGTGAATGGATTTATCGGCCATTTATACACATGACTTAAAACTATAAGCAATTACAGTGCCCCTGCTAATCTTCACAATTCACAAATCACCACAGAACCTTCCAAGCCTTCACCAGCCGTTTCCTGGCAGTGGCTTTTAATATTGGAGATTCTTCAGCTTCATGCACTGAAGTTCTCTGTTCCCAGATTCCTGTACAGAACTTGACTGTACTCAACTAGCTTTGTCTCTTATAACATCTCAGCACGGACCAAATAGAAAATGCTGTGTTTTCGTTGTTGTAGTCCAACTGTTCCATTGTTAAGAATCTGCTGTCTAGCAATGGGAACATGTTTATCAAGCTGCTGTTTGCAGTCACTGCTTAGCAATGGGTCTGTACACTACATTGCACCTGCCTTAAGCCAATTTGCCCCGGATGGCCTACAGGCACACTGCCATTTCTTCCTCCCTGGGACTGTTATTGTGACATCTGTGACTGGTCTAGCTTTCCTCCCCATGGCTTGGTTTTCACACAGCCTCTTTATGGCTGCTCATCCCAAGCGGCTCCCTGATAAGGTACCAGTCAGTCCAGGTGTGTCACCATCCTTCTCCTCTACCAATCAGTGAGGGTGACAGTTTGAATGTCCTGACATTCATTTTCTGCAGTCTGCTGGAAGTCCTGACTATTTGCTTTGCAACCTCCAACTCATTGGTTTCCCCAAAGATCCTATTTGGTGTTCTCTCCTTCCTCAGTTGTAGTTGCTCCTTTAAGCCTTGGATCCTTATTCCACTGATGCCATCCTATTTCACGCGATGTCTGTTTCTGAATATCTGTCCTTTCTGTGTTCTTAGTACAGTCTTGTCCTTGCCTTGTCCCTGATGACAGTGTTCCTTATGCCATGTAAGATTGGCTTGGTGAGTCATCCCTCTGCAGGTGGCAACCAATTTCTTCTGGGACCCACCATTACCCTGGGTTCATTTCTCTGGCTGATCACAGTGCTTTTGGCCGGATACTGGTCCCTTTTGTGTTCATTCAGTGCTCAGAAAGTTTCTTTCTACT